AGGGTTAGTGTATGCATCCGTTTGAAACCTTATATACAAACATCGAGTCACATAATAATCATAAGACAATCCATGATCCGTCCCTGTCATGAGAATCTGAAAAAATATGCTGATCAACACTGGATCTTTCTAAGCCACTTGCAGCCGCTTAAATGAAGCGGTACGCAAAACAATACGTCCGTTTTGTCTCGTCCAGAGGATCGGCTGTCTGGTAAACGAGACAAACTTCCGTTCAAGTCCTCATACGATGATATACTCATTATCACGATGCGCATGACCTTCCATGGAGCCCGGTATTTACGAGACCAGCCCTACACGATTACTTATGAACAAGAAGTACGAGAAACAGACCAGTCCGTTCAGACGTTCAAAAAATGCTCTGAGGCTGAGGAAGTCGCAGTATGAAGGCGCGATCGCTGCTTCATACGTATACCGACTGCGGACCTTCGAAATGTACACAAAGACGACAGATCGTTCCCGTCAAGCCCACCACAAAGATGTTAACAATCCTGTGATGCGCAAGCGCTTCTATGTTCCAGAGATCCTGGAGTATTGTCATTCGATCTGGACGAATATTCAAGCTATGCGCGAGAATCCATGAGTAACCTCGTGCCATCGACACGGGATGACACCATCTATATATATATTTACTACAAAACCTCTACAACAAGGCGGATGAAACGACTATACGCACGTCTAGATTATGCTACTACCTACACCAAGTTGAGGACGGCCTGCTATATGAAAATACACATATTGAAAGTGTACCGGAAGAAAACGTGATGCGTTTGCGAACGCTTCACGTCTATACCATACAAATCTGCCGCCAAACGCTACCACGAGACTGATGGACAAGCCGTCGTTCTCATAGCGAAGTCGACGAACCGTATGCATGACCCATTACGGGAGAAACATGCATCATATATCAACATGTTTCGATGCTAAATTGACGGTTGATCAACTGATGTCTCCAAAGAAAAGCCAAGCTGCATGATACAAGAAAGCCAACAACAGTACTTCATCGTCAGTCACGCGATGAAAATGAGTATCAAGAAGGATGTTTGGGTTTAATATCTATCGAGACTAGACGTAGGCTCTTCATGCGATGCTAGGGGCCAAAATACGGTATTGGTATCCTGGCCATGATAGCCGCCGCACACGAGCAATGGAGCATATAGAGGCAAGTCGGTGCATACAAGATGCAGGGCTACTGATTCCCTGAACTCCGCCCGCAGAAACAAACGACGGATCACATTCAAATTCAGCACCTGACGATTCAATAGAAATGGATAGGAGAGGTTAGGGAGCATATATATGGCAACGATGCAGCAAATCCAAAATTTCCAGAGGACAGATGCAGAGCCAGGGATCGATTTCATCACACATATTCGTTGACGATGGTATGGTGACATATATACACATAGAGACGATGAACGGATTGGACTTATATTATATCAAGAATTGAAACTCCCATTAGTCGCTGAACAACCTATATCTCACATCTAACTCTCAAGACCGTGATTTCGGTGCCGACACACTTGATACCGAGTCTTCAGTGGCATTTTTTTTTTTGGCAATCTCGAGTATTTATATACGTATCTCTTACGACTTATGAACTGTGCGGAACTAGCTTGCTGAATGTTCAGATGAGGAAAGTCCTCAATGAAATGAAGGGCTTAACACATTTCTCCTCGAAGGATTCGTCTCCACAGGTCGATGGTGATTACTGTTCTTGGTCGAAAGAGGATATTTACCTAATCATGATCTGTCACATCGATGACATCTTAATCATGTCTCTGGAAGATCTTAGAGTTTTAAGAGAAGCTGGCGGACTTCGATGATTTGCCGCATAAACGTTAGGCTTTCGGCTTAAGAAGATGGATCCAACGGTCTTCTATATAGGAGTTTCAATTGTAATTAGTCAAGCTACTAAATTCACCGTTACACTGGGCCAAAGTCATGTCACATGCAGGCCCAAAGTGCGGGACAGAGATAGATGAATCTCTGCTACAGGATATTTGGGTCATTTTTACCGAGACCCAAGGTACTTGCGTCTTCATCTACAAGTCGCAGAAGCGGCGATCAGATGTGGTGCCAATCCGACGCGAAGAGACCGGAAATCATGTTGAGCTTCCATGAAGCCATATAGAATAAAATTGCATGCCAGAAAATGGAGCGTACCATAATATATTATATTGGATCAAGTCTTCCTTTGATTGAGATCCCATGCATGTTGGTTACCATCAACTGGATGCTCATGACATGATTTTTGAGACTTGAGTGTATATACATACCATCTGACAATCGAACCCTGGCACTAGATCCGACTCTGCAGGCCAAATTCAGAAACAAAATCAGCCGTCTTAGATTTATGCAGAGTTCGCGCAGCTACCCCAGAAATATATATGAATTGCTCTGACTCGATCAGAAATTTGGTTCAAAGGATCAACTTGTATATCAACAACGAGGAACGGAACACATAAGATGACATCTTTGAGGGAGTATACTAGTGTATTCCTAGATACACTAGACTTATGAAGCGTAAAGCGTGAGGCGCAGCGCTCAAGCTCCAAGTGCTGCTGGTAGCGTCTGTACATGCATGCACACTTGTATTTGATAGCGTCAGAGATAGCTACATGTTGTGATTGGGAATTCAGTCCATTACACATTACTCAGACCGCATAACAGGTTATGAGCCTGGATGTTTCCTAGATCACGAAGAGGTGTCCAAAGAGAAATGAGTGAGTGAGTGAGTCTACGGGAACAAGGACTCGGGCAGGCCAAACGCAATCGGACGCTGGCAACAGGAGAGGAACTCAACCCCCGAAGCCCTCAACTCGGAAACTACAATAGACAACTTCGCACAATGGGCAGCCGAGGCGCATGAAGCCTCATCCGGAAGCGAGCAAGTCACAATCTTCTGGAAATGGGAGGCGAACATGCAAGGACAGGAAGCCGTTAATCAAGATTTTAACGAAGATGGAAGCACACCCGATATGAGCAAGCCCAATATCGTAAATTTGAATGATTAGAACTACATATACAATGTACGTCAGATCATGCTACAAGCAGACAACCACCTTCACTGGGCATATTTCATGCATTGGCTCTCTTAACAGCCTTGATGATCACTGAGGAAGATCTTCAGGGTGCTATCACTGATCAATGCCACTAGAACCGCGCATGCTTATACTCCCAGCAAACGTTATATGGATCTGACCTCGAAACAGCGAGCCGGCGTTTGGTCCCGAGACTAGATCTGACCCTCAATTGATCAAATGTTGCAACCGGAGAAATTCTATGCGTAAATACCGGTAGACTTAGCTTGCCAATTTTCTATAATAGACTGCATCTGGGATATGGACACCTTGATGATATTATAGGAATCAACAGATGTATTGTCGAGAAAAGGGCGAACGGCGCACTGGCCGAACACCGACACATTCAAGAGGGTTGGTATACGGCTGTTGGTTATCTCACCGCTAAACGTTCATCGTTATATATATGAGCAAATTGCATGCGTTGTATGAATACCATCTAGAGCAGCCACTGGAAAACGGAAGAAGGGAAAGAAGAAGCAAGGTACTCCAAAAGCGCTTTTCTGGTAATCGCTATGGGATGCATTCCATTTGGCCCCCCCAAAATAAAATTTGATAAGGTGGAAACCACTGACGTGCGGTCTGGTTTATGAGACCGGAAACCACCGAATAGTAGGTATGTATGACTCGAGATTGTTGGGCCTGTAGTACAAGCGCACACTTCTACGTGCCACCAGATTCGCACAACGAGCTCAATATCTCTTCACCCTCGGAAAATTATATGAACCTATCGAGAAAGGAAAGAACCCATGCCCCTGCCCAGACTGCCTGAGATACCCAAATGATAGAATCAAGAATCAGAAAGGAACCAATATGTGCATTGATCGCCCTGTTGCTGACGATCCATGACTCACTACCCGTTTCATTTTCGATGTCAGAAACCTGGCAAATATCAAGAATCAGAAGTGTTGGTTGGTGCTCTCACGCAGATGGTACGCCCCGCAGTAAATCTAATAAATGCACTGAATGATGTCGGATGCAAAGACTTATGTGTATAAAGGCGCATCCCTCTAGATCTATAGACTTGCAACCCCAAGAATTCGGTTCGATCGGAATTGGAACTTCAACAAATTTCTACCGCTACACGCTGAAGTTATCACGATATCACAGGCCGGTCCGGGCAGTACTAGAAGGCAGGCGGGTGCTTGTTTACGAAGCCACATTCCTATCCAGTATATCGATTTGTGAGCATCCAACGATCGATGGATCCGACAAATAGCTGTATCAGAGTCACAATTTCTGTAGACCCTAAATTTCTCCAAAGTCCAACCTGACAGAAGAAACTTCAGCAACTCGTGTTTCAAGCACTAAATTTCATGAGTGGCATTCCTATGCATGCCCAGTGACTTTATGGCGTCCGACGTCCTTCTCATGATCAAAGACGCGTTGGAGTCCGCCAGCAAGATGCATAAGAGCATCTACCTCACGGACCATGATGATTCTGCGGATGGTGATAAAGCCACTGCACTGGCATATAAGGTGCCCTCGAAGACGATGAGATCTCGATACTTAAATTGCTATTTTTTCTTCTATAGATTTGGCTACCGTAGCCTTTGTCCCGTGCAATTCAACAGAATTTTCGACTGACGTTCGATCAAGGCATTTTTCCTTATGTTATGTTGTATTTAAGGCAGATTCAAAACGTTATGTCACCTCCATGCAGATAGATATCATGTATCCTAGATATACAAGTTTCTCGCTGTTTCCCCTGGCCTGTTACTTACAGGCTGTAATTATACTTGAAATTTACGCCCCTTGCTTGCTGCTTGTTTCCTGCAATTAATGACTGTTTGAAGTCTCGCCAACGCCGTCGACACAACGCACTGTGATGTCTACCGACGTCGACGGAAATCCCGCAAAAGATCATAGACACAAACAACGAGCAGTATCTTCATCAAAGCAGGTGAGATGGCCGAGTTGGTTATGGCGCCAGGTTAAGGTTACACCTTAATAAGTCGCTTCCTGGTACGGGAAACTGTGCGTGGGTTCGAGTCCCACTCTCATCACTATCTTTTTGCGTTTTTTTTGCTCGAGAGTCGTTTGGGCCGGTTCAGGAAGGTGGCGGGGTGTCGAGGTGTCGAGCTCAGAGGTGGGGTGCTTGGCGATCTGACTTTTGGGGAAAGATTCTATATTTCATTTTTTGGGGGGCGCCGATGATTGGTATTGTATGTAGAAGAAAATACAGAAACTTTTCTTAAGAGAACTCTTGCGTATCGAGCGGCCTATCAGATCTCAGTTGCTCATATTTTGAAATTTCGATCTCGTATTGATTTTGCATGATGCGCTTCCTAAATTGTTACGGTTTGTTAAACAGCTGAAGAGACTCTCGGCATGTCCATTTAGGTGTCTGATGCCGACGCATGCGTAGGGACGTAGTAATCTTCCACTCTGTGGCTGTTCTGCGTGGTTCGATATATATATAATTGTAGCTAGCCTGGGCCAATGATCTCCATCAAGAATTAAAACGCAGGTTTTAAATTATAAAATGTCCTAGCAAATGTCATCCAGAGTCCGAATTACCCTGCAGGTAATTAATTCGGAGTGCATGCAACAGAGCCACTGTGTTGATTACTAGAGCGTTTCCTGGGACTATCTCCGCGTTAGTTGCTTTTACAGGATTGTATACGATGTAACCTCGCATTCCAGTTCATATTTTATAACAGTCGGCGTCGATCGAAGGCCTTGTTGGGAGAAAATTGCAGAAGCTGTTATCAAGCTTCGCTAGATAACCGTGCCGACGGTGCTCAGGTGAAGTTTGTTCGCCTTGTAAAACCTTTCCTACAACTCCAAGCACTCAAATCACCACTGTGATAGGAATCAAGATGTCGTCAAAGTCGCAACTCACCTACGGCGAACGAGCCAAGCAGCATCCCAATGGCGTTGCCCGCAAGCTCTTTGAGATTGCCGAGTCCAAGAAGACCAACGTCGTCGTCTCCGCCGACCTAACAACGTCAAAAGAGCTACTGGGTCTCGCTGATGGTAAGCATCCAGATTCTCCGGAACCGACATCTGATCCAACAGCTAAAGATTTATAGAGCTCGGGCCATATATCGCGGTCTTGAAGACCCACATTGACATTCTGGACGATTTCCAGCCGTCCGTGCTTCAAGAATTAAAAGCCTTGGCAATCAAACACAACTTTCTGATATTCGAAGACCGCAAGTTCGTGGACATTGGGAATACGGTTCAAAAGCAATATCACGGCGGTGCCTTGCAGATCTCAAGCTGGGCGGATATTGTCAACTGCACCATGCTGCCAGGAGAAGGTATCGTCCAAGCTTTGACTGAAACAGCGGAAAGAGACGACTTCCCGTACAAGGGCGAGCGAGGCCTGTTGATTCTCGCCACGATGACGAGTAAAGGGTCGCTTGCTACCGGAGAATATACCAAGGTTTCGGTGGAATGCGCGAGAAAGTATAGCCGGTTCGTTATCGGGTTTGTGGCCTCGCGGACCCTAGGAGATATCGAAACGGACGTCGCAGCTCTCGACAACGAAGATTTCGTCATGTTCACCACCGGCGTGAACATGGCTTCGAAGGGAGACAAGCTGGGGCAGCAGTATCAGACGCCTAGGTCTGCGGTGGAAAGTGGTGCCGATTTCATAATTGCAGGACGGGGTATTTACGCGGTTCCAAACCCGGTCGAGACGGCAAAGTTGTACAGAGACGAGGGCTGGAATGCCTACTTGTCACGGGTCGGAAAATGAACAGCGGCGCTCAAAAAAACTTGTATTCAAAAAAACTTTTTTATGGATACCTTATGTATCGTACTTTTCGTACATTTATACATCCAGTAATAAGCACTGATGTAAAAACATAACAGTATCTGCCTTTTCGCTGCAAAGAGTAGGGGTATACATACGCCCAGCGTTCAGCAACGGAGCTCCACCAGAAATCATCGAGTAGCTTGGATATCGGGAAGAAAAAAATTGCTCTTCGATACCCAGGTAATGGGACAGCTCATGCCGGCTGAGGCTGCAGGATCGTGCAGCTGCATGACAAGCTGGTGGTCTGGTGGACCTGCCCTTCGTGATGTTTTGTCGACACCGGCTGTCAGGCGAAACTGGTAGTGTGTTTGCAACTGAAGAGTCCGCCCTTATTTTACCCAATGACAGGTCACCCAGCAGGGACCACATCTTTTAGCACCAGCCCAGTCGCAACCCACACCTCGACCGATTCCAAGAGGCCCGCGCGTCATCTTTCCGTCGCCGGATACGTCCCTGTCTCTACGTACTTCCCGGCAAGAGTCGTCGTCACCACCTGGCTGCTGTAGGCCCTACAGAGTCTCCTGCGGGAAGTTGGTATATTTGCCGCGTCCGCCGCTCATTTTAACGCAGCCCGCCCGTTCACCTCGCAAACCATCGTCAAATGCTTCGAAGATAGCAACCGCCTTCGAAATCCGTCAAGATGCCCGAGTTTCTCGGTCCAGGCGGCACAGGCACCAAGCTGGGCAACTTCTTCATCATCTTCTCCGGGGCGTGCTCTGTAGTGGCGGCCTTCTTGTCCGTTATGTAAGCTCACGCGACGCCCTTCCGCCCACCAATCATTGAATAAGGACTAATGTTTACTTTGCTAGTTCCATCTGGTTTCAACTGTAATGAACCCGCCTATCCCTGATATACCACCAGGATCAAGCCGCTCTAACAGCCGATCATAGGAAGAACTATCGGAAACCGTTACTACAACGATATGTCGTGCGCATACTGTTGATGTATGTGGGCTATCTCCCAGAGTACCGCGTGTAGATGTCGGACTGACGGTCTTAGGGTGCCCATTTATGCGATTACATCATGGCTAAGCTTGAAGTCGCTGACGGCGGCTTTCTTTCTGGATCCCATCCGCGATATCTACGAGGTGAGCAGGATTTTGCAGGTCATGTGATGACGATGTTCGAATTGGTGCTGAGATGACGTAGGCCTTCACGATATACACGTTCTTCCAGCTGCTCATCAACTTTTTGGGCGGCGAGCGAGCTCTCATCATCCTTACGCATGGACGGGCGCCGACACCGCATCTATGGCCTATGAACCTGTTCCTACCTAAAGTCGACATGAGCGACCCGCATTCCTTCGTCGCCATCAAGCGCGGCATCCTTCAGTATGCCTGGCTCAAACCGGTACTCGCGATAACGTCCATTATCATGAAGGCCACGGATACGTATCAGGAAGGCTATATCGGTCTGAATAGTGGCTATTTCTGGAGCGGCATCATCTACAATCTTTCGGTTACCATAAGTTTGTACAGTCTTGGCATGTTTTGGGCATGTATGCACAAGGATCTGAAGCCGTTCAGACCAGTGCCAAAGGTCAGTATTGATGATCCTAGGGACTTGAGGATTTCGGAACTAACGCTGCTGGGTAGTTCCTCTGCATCAAACTCATCATTTTCGCTTCCTATTGGCAAGGGTTCTTCCTGTCAATTCTGGTATGGCTCAAGGTCATCCCCGATACACCCGAGTACACCCGCGACAACCTTGCCGCCGCAATACAAGACTGCCTAATCTGTTGCGAGATGCCGGCCTTCGCGATAGCACACTGGTACGCTTTCTCTTGGAAGGACTATGCGGACCCTACGATCTCTGCTGCCCGCATGCCGGTCCGATACGCTTTGAGAGACGCCTACGGAATAAGAGACTTGATACACGACACCAAGGAAACATTCGGCAAGGGTGATTACGGTTACCGGAATTTCGACTCCGTAGATAGCACTACAATGGCTCATCCCGAAAGCGCTGCTAGAATGGCAAGGATAAGAGAAGGAATGCGGTACGAGAGAGGCGGAAAGGGCAAATATTGGATTCCCAAACCGTCTTCGTCGAGTCGCACGGCGCTGCTCGGAGCTGTGGGTTCTGCAGCTGGCTTTGCGGAAGACCCTGCTATACGTGCTGTTTCTGCTGCGGGGAAGTCGTATGGGAGTGTAGAACCGAATGATCTCGAGGATACCACTCTCGATGAGGATCTCGAGAAATTGTACACGGATGCGAGGGCGATGGAGTTCGGGGATTATAACGTAAGTGTTGAACATCGCAAAGGTATTATTGGCGGGCAACCAGCTGACAACCCGATGCAGTATCCTGTCATAACTGCGCACGAACCCTATAGTGAGGAACGTTTCCGGCAGAATTACCAGTCCTCTCGCTACCTTGTTACAACAGCGACCAATCAAGAAGTGCTCCGGCCCAAAGACCGCATAAAGATTCAGTCTCGGAGAAATACGAAGTCTAGTGGTTCTAAACCTCAAGGCAACAAAGGGAAGGGCAAGGATTCTCCCACGGAGAATGGCAACCGAGAGGAATCGCAGGGACTCCTCTCAGGGATTACCGACGCATTGCACCGAAGCTCGTCGTCGTCATCATCTAATAAATCCAATCGATCTGGCATTGTGGATTTGGTTGTCGAAGATACTCAGGCTGAGGAGATCGAACGGGTTCGAGCCAGAAAGGAAGGTGGTCCTGGATGGAACGAAGAAGATCCAAAGGTCTTTGTCACAAAATACCCACCAGAGGACGCCGGAGAGGTGCAGCGGACAGGATTTGATACCGAGCATATTCCGCCCCCGATTGATACCCGAGAGCACCACACCGATACATCGGCAGTAAACATGCCAAGAAGTGGCTCACAAGATAACTTTGTTGTGGCCGAGGAAGAAGACGAGAGCGAGACACCGACACCGACTGCCGAGACTAATCATAATAACAGATTGAGGTATGGAAGCTTGGCCGACGACGACAATCCATGGAATCGCTAAGCAACATGCGTGTCATCATCTTTTTACTTCTGAGCGAGAATACCCTTGCCTTGTCCGGCATCATCTACATTCACATCGTTTCACAACATTTTTTTCGTTATCTTTTCTGTTGATGATCCTTCGCAATTATCTGAAATCCATTATCTTTTGTTGCGCCGTTTCATAATCATGGAGGATATACACTTGTGGCAGTCTTTGCGCGGCGGCGGCGTCCTGAAGCATGCGTTTATCGATTGGGGCGTTGAGGTGGCATCTTTGCG